GGGTGCGGGTAAACGGATATAGTAATCGGGTCGGGTAACGGGTCTTTCTACTATACCGGACACGACTTGGAGTTCTGATGGCATAAGTCTACCCTAACCCGACCCAAAACCCGGTCATCTCGGATTTACCCGACCCGAAAATGCAGGTAACCTGCAGGTAGCTCGGCCCTACGGGTTTTATTGACATGCCTAAAATTGGTGTGCGGCTTTAATGGTGTTCCTGGTCATCTTTATTACAAATTGTGAATTACTAAATATCGCCCCACTTTTACTACCTATTGCCCCCCTTGGACTGTTTAGCCCTGATGTTTTCCAAAACCCTAAAAAAAGGAAGTTCCTCCCGACCAGTTTTTTTTTACAAATCAAATTTTTATTTATTATAGAAATTATGTTACAATTTAGAAATTATTATGTTATAAATTAGAATTTATTATTATTATATATGTTGGAATTTAGAAACTATTATGCAATATATTAGAATTGATTATCTTATAGAATTTATTATTATTATTATGTTAGAACTTAGAAATTATTATGTTATAAATTAGAATTTATCTGAGACTGGGTCGGCGTCCACTGGACAGGTATGGCACGCATCGGCGTCGGGTTGGTGGCCGGCTGGCGGCGGGTCAGGTAGTGGTGGCCGACAATCGTGCGAGAGAGTTGTGTATGTGTGTGTTATTTGTGTGTGAGAGATGATGGGTGGGTTTGTGCTGGCCGGTCGGTGACGGTGGTGGAGGACGGTGGCGACGGAATCGAACGGGCGGATGCCGGCGGCAGATACAGTGCTGGTGCCGATTGTGTGTGTGTGTGTGTGTGTGTCTGCAAATCGAATTGTGAGAAATCAGAAAGAGAGATGGTGAATCGTGAAAAAATAGATAATAGATATTAAATGGTGAGTGGGTACCACGTAATATATGTGTATTTACTAATTTATCCCTTAATTATTGGTCAAATGTACATATTTGACCCACTATGATCAAATAATTACCAGATTGCCATTAATGATTGATCATAGTTTGACTTCATCATAACCATTCATATGATTGATCCGATGGTTCAGATCCATTCTTATTTCTTTCACTATCTACCGTTCTCATGTGATCCTAACTATATATATATAGGGAAGGGTTCTAATAAGAACCCTTCTTAGTGTGAGAACTAGGAACCAATAACAACCCTTCATTGTTGTAGTTTGGACGGGACGGAATTTGACCTATTATAGTAGCAACAAAATAACAAAAATCAATTTACTAATAGCAGGAGGGTAAATTAGGAACAATAGACTTGGGAGAATCATTGTAAGATGCTATATCCGGATTTTCGGGAAACCGAATAGTCACGTAGAAGGCAACTCTATCAATCAAGCAAAACAATATGACACCAAAAAAAAAAGAAAAATCTTATTGCACCTTTATTGCTACGATTACAGCTCTTTACAGGAAATAAAATTGCCGTCGCGACAAGTTTCGGAGCCCGAATTATACCGACCGACGCATGGTGTAGCTTTTGAACAGGGGTAAAAAAAGTGCTCGTGAACAAGTGGTACACCGTCGGACGCGTGAAAGGTGAGTTTTTTTTTGTTTTTGTTTCTATACATTTTCAGTGATAGCAGTTGCATTGGCTCAGAAAAATTGAAATTTTTTACAGTCATATTTGGGAAAAGAGCACATTTTAGTTTCTTAATTTTAGCGAAGTTTATTTTTTATGCCTCTGCTTTTATTCGAATTTGTTGCGTTTATTCTAAGGAGATTAAATTTAAGTTTGTTAATAAGATATTCACTAAGCATGTCTTTAAGAAAATCCAAACATTTTCCATTACTCTCTGAAGCTTAGTATTTTATATATATATATATATATATATAATTTTTTTGTAATGAATGCTTAGAAATTAAACTTCATTTTCTGTTTTAGAATAAGTTAGTGCTTCCTTTAATGGTGATATGTAGCACATGTGCAAAAAATCATAATATTTTGTTTAATTTCTATTTGAAGTAATTTTTGCTTAGATTAACAATTTGAGAGTGGTGCTATTAGTATGTAGTATATGCTTCGTGTTGCATTCTATTGTGCTAATTATATGGCAACTTGTTGCAACTTATTATTTTTTATGAACTTTATATGTTTTAGAAATTTGAAATTTTTGAAATTTAGGCCAATATAAAAATAATAAAATACAAATATTGATATTTATAACTGCATCTTTTCATTATATTTTGTTATTTTAAACTCGTTGAACATTAGCATATAGAATATGCTACTTTTGCATTCTATTGTGCTAATTATATGACAACTTGTTGCAACTTATTATTTTTTATGAACTTTATGTTTTAGAAATTTGAAATTTAGGCCAATATAAAAATAATAAAATATAAATATTAATATTTATATCTGTGTCCTTTCATAATATTTTGTTATTTTCAACTCGTTGAACATTAGCATATAGAATATGCTACTTTTGCATTCTATTGTGCTAATTATATGGCAACTTGTTGCAACTTATTATTTTGTATGAACTTTATGTATTAGAAATTTGATATTTAGGCCAATATAAGAATAATAAAATATAAATATTGATATTTATATCTGCATCCTTTCATAACATTTTGTTATTTTCAACTCGTTGAACATTAGCATGTAGAATATGCTACTTTTGCATTGTATATAGAATATAATTTCAGCTTGTTGAACACTATGAGATTGATGATATTAGTATATAGAATATGCTACTTTTGTATTGTATTGTGCTAATGTTATGTCAAGTTGTTGCATATGACCTTTTTAGATAAACTTTATTCTTTAGAAATATTACAACCTTGCACCCAAAATCATCACCAGATTAAGAACAGCCTCGACCGCCCTTAGCAAAGGTGCATCAACAATTTTACGTTATTAGTTCTTATATACTGGGAGTTAATTCTTTCACTGCATCCAAAAACATTATATAACATTAGAAGGGGAACAAAATCAATATTAAAATGTATATAAAAAGGTGGCAGCAGGTTGAATCCCACGTTTCTCAGTTGCCACCCTTTTTTTCTTTTTTCTTATTTTTTTTATAATTTGTTTGGCGAAATACTTGTAGTCAAACTGTCAACATTTAATCCAGAAATGTTAAACTTTATCGATATTGTATAGACTTGTGATGTATCAATTTTTTGATAAATGTTGCTTTTAATTTAACAAATATGTGCTATTTTGAATACATGAACGTGCTAAGTTATATTTGTGATATTGCTATTTATTACATGTGCTTCAATTATAACACTTTATGTTTTTATGTTTATCTATTCAATATAATGTTGCTTCATGGATATTTTTTACCTCTAAACTGTTGGTAATATGAATAAAATTATATTTGAGATATTTTGTATTCACTTATGCTAGATTTTCCCCTGCATGAAGCAATAAACTTTATGAATTTGTTCTTGAACACATGTTATTTCTAACTTTTGCGAAGGTGATTCAATGGTGAACTACGAGCATCATGGTGAACCATATGTAGCTGAAGAAATTATGAATGAAGCCAATGACACAGAAGTTGAAACTGTGAGTGGTGGTGCAACATTTGAACTTAATAATGACGAAAGTGGAGATGAGTCGGATAGTGATTATTCAGATAATGATGAGGAACAACAGGCTTACGATAAACTCAAAAGCAGAACTTGCCCCCAAGTGTTGGTTAGTTCCTGCAAGAAAATGAATGCCGCACAGAAAAGAGCAATTAATGAGATTGGCTTTGGAAGTATATTCCATCTAAGTGTGTACAAATTACCAAGGAAATTGGGATATTGGTTGCTAGACAATTTTCAACCCAAGACATGTGAGATAAAGCTACAAAATGGACATAGTGTGCATATTGAATCTAAAGATGTAGCATTGGTCTTAGGGTTTCCAAATGGTGAGCGTGCTATACAAAAGAAAAGGAAACACGAACAATGCTCATTACTTGAAGAGTGGGGTGGGAAATTTGTAAAAGACAAGAAGAAAATTCTTCCCACTGATGTTTCAGCTCAAATGTTGTCCAATCAGGATGGGGGCTTATGGTTCATTCGACATTTTCTAATTCTTCTCACCTCATGTTTGATAGAGACATCAGGAACTGGATATATTTTACCTCAAATCATGTCCCACTTCAGCAATACAAGTGCAGCCCGACATCTCAATTGGTGTGACTATGTGTTGGAGTGCTTGGTTAACCATCACTTAACTTGGGCAAAAAACAAGAAAAAAAGTTTCAACGGGCCGATTTTTTTTCTGATGGTACGTCTCTTACTTTATTAGTATGTAATATAAACAATAAACGACATTGATAAATATTAAAATTGACATGTTTTTAACTCTTATTTTAGGTGTATGGTATTAGTTAAAACTAATATTAACAAGTTTTTTATTATTGTAGCACTACTTTTAATGAAACAATAATTGTTAATAAATACTTTTTATAATGCAGATGTTCTATGTTGATCGGGTTGTCATTTACAAAAGAATTGTACCTAGAGGTTTGCCATTGGTAAGAGGGTGGACAAACAAATTACTACGAGACAGGCAAAAGACAGAAATTAGATCTGGCGGATTCGGGGGTGGGTACCCAAGCGGTCAACACAAATCAAATGAAGGCTCGGTCTATGAAAATGTTGAGTTTGCTCAAAATTCATCATTTGCAATGGTGGAAGAAGCTCCAAATACCCAGCTTGATGGCAATGCCAATTCATATGCAGCTGAAACATTTATGTCAGAATTTTTAAGAAAAAGCAAGATGGTTGCCGTCGCAATAGTTGACATGTTGAGGTTGGTCGAGCAGGCACCTCATAAACTGAGCGAACACTCTGATTATAAGAGGGTGGTTGACACAACAGAATCATTGTTGGGTTGCAGACCAACTGAAAATAACTTGCATAATGGTGCGGAACCATCTTTATCGCAGAACCAAGGCACACAGTTAGATGATGCATTCTGGAGCGACCCAGAAACATTAGCCATAATTGAAGAAATAGAGAATGCAATCATGAAAAGAGGTGAATTCAATAAATCTGCGGATGACATACCAAGTTTCAGCCTGGGCTTAACTCAAGAATTTGCTGATAAGATCGATGAGGTTGTCACAAAAAATGATCAGCCATCCACATTGATTTCACCACAAGTGATCTCAACGAGTATGCAATCCACAGAGAAAAAAACACCAAAAGGCACGATTGCAGATCAGAAAAACATGGTAAAGATCAACTTATTTTTAATTTATAATTTTGATCATAATTCATGCTAGCATATTTATGAGGTAAATGGACACCAATTTAAGTATTCTGCAATATATTTATGGCGCTATTAAATGTTATTTATGATGCATCTTTTATAAGTTTATTATGCTATATGTACTTGAATTGTTTCTAAGCAACATCATTATATATATAAAATATTGTGTTGGCAAAAAAACATCAACTTTTGTGGGATGTTGAATCATATTTTGTTAAAATTGTCAGCATGATTTGGTTAATTTGTTAGATATAGCACAACATGTTGGTAATAATAAGTAAAATATTGGTGGATGCATACGAGTGATAATCAAAATTATGGCAAGTACGAAAGGTGTTAGTGCTAGTATTTATTGATAATTATGAGATATTTGTGGCTTAGGCTGTAAAGTCTTATTGCTAATATTTATTAAAAGTTGTGCTATAACTTTTTTAATGTTGTACAAAGTTAATTGTGCTATATTTTTGTATCAGGAAACTGATAAGAGTGATAGCCCTATAGTTGTGTTTTCAGAAGAAGTATTCCTACCAAATGGTCAGTCCCTAAATCAAAGAAATAAGAGAAAGAAGGAACAGGTTATTATTATTTATACTTTTATGAGTATTATTCTAATAATTGTCTTGGTGCATGCAAATAATTCTAAAGATGTCTAATTTCGTGCAGCTTGAACACGAGAAATGGAAATTGATATGCAGTCCACCTTTTGGTACTAGTGAGCCTGCGACCGGTAGTGGCAAACAAAAGAAGAAAGTAACATTTCTTAAAGAGTCTTACCAACAAACCTCCAAAGGAAATGAACAACAAGTAACCGAGATGAAACTTTTTAATCACTAATTTTATATCTATTTGGTCCTGGTATATGAAATGAGAAGGGCGAAGTTTAATAGATCACAAGGAAACATTGATGCTATCTTACTTGCGTATAGTGTTAATTTTAACATCACATAGTGCTATCTTGGTCTTTGCATAGTCTTGTTTCTAATATTTGTTGATAGTTATGCTATATTTTGTCTAATATTGTACATATTTCGTTGCAAGTATATATTGTTAATTTTGCTATATTTGTGGCTAAGGATGTGCGGGAAAATGATAATAGTGATAGCAGTCCACCTTTTGGTACTAGTGAGCATGCGAAAGATAATGGCAAGCAAAAAAAGAAAGTAACATTTCTTGGAACGCCTAGCCAACAAACATCCAAAGGAAAGGAACAACAGGTAACCGAGATGAAATTTTTTAATCACAAATTTTATATCTATATTGTCCTGGTATATGAAATGAGAAGGGCGAAGTTTAATAGATCACAAGCAGCCATTGATGCTATCTTACTTGCGTATAGTGTTAATGTTAACATCACATGGTGTTTTATCTTTGTTTGTACATAGTCTTGTTTCTAATATTTGTTGATAGTTGTGGTATATTTTGTCTAATGTTGTACATATTTCGTTGCAAGTATTTATTGTTAATTGTGCAATATTTGTGGCTAAGGTTGTGTGGGAAAATGATAATAGTGATAGCCCTATTGTAAGGTTGTGTGGGAAAATGATAATAGTGATAGCCCTATTGTAATGTTCTCAGAACAAGTTTTTCTAACAGTCCAATCCATAGAACAAACAAATAAGAGACAGATAAAGCAGGTAGTTATCCTCAAAATTTTTATGAGTATTATTCTAATAATTTTCTCGGTGCATGAAAATAATTTTATAGATTTCTATGATTGTGCATCCTGAACACGAGAATCATTCACTTATGCGGGGTTGTCACAATAGCAAAGGGGAATGGAAATTGATATGCAGTCCACCTACTAGTACTAGTGAGCCAGATAATGTCAAAGAAATGAAGGGATTAACTTTTCATGATACGGCTGAGCAACAAAAACTCAAAGGAAAGGAAACACAGGTATTTGAGATGATATTTTTTTATTTTTAATTTTATTGTCCTGGCATAATAGATATGAAAAAAAGACACACTAAATGCATATATAATTAGCATTGTACACTGAAAAAAACAGCGCTATTAGTTTCTTCCACCTATGCTTAATGATTTTTTGAAGCATTCCAAAAATTTAATTGAAATTGTAAATTTGATCTCAGGAAATGTTACCCCCAACCAGCCACTGTATGGAGCGCCGAAATAAAAAAGATGTAAGAAAAAGCGAGAAGTTATTATCACCCTACCATACCCGCGTGCTAGCAGCCACATCTAAGTTCAACAAAAAAGAGAGAGATTTATGCTTCTGGATTTTGGACGACGTGGATAAAATGTATACTCTGAAACTTGATAATTACAGAAATATGTGATTAATCATTAACCATTCTACATTTTTTATTTCAGGGATGAAGCAGTATTCTCAAGTGGTCACGTTGAGTGTTTGAGACGAGAGTTATTATCAATTAGACCATCACTATTTGTGAGCACTACTGTTGTAGATGTCTGGGCAACTGTTTTGAATAACCTGGAGTTGTTAAGGTCACATGGCTCACCACTAAGATTCTTTTTTACAGTCGATACGTGTGTAAGTTTTTATGTTAATTTTTACTTAAAGTTGATATGTTAGCAGTGTTGAGTAACTATCTACTAAAAAAAAAATATCAAATCTATTGATAGGCTTTCACTATCGTGAACCCAGCAAAGGACTGGAGCATCGGAGTGAGACGTATCATGTTTTATGACAGTATGACAGAACAACTACAAAGAGCAGACCAGCAACTTGAGAACATTGACATAGTATGAACTCAACTCATTTCAATCTACTATCACAATAAGGTAAAAATTTGACAATATATTTGTGAATAAAATGCAGCTTTTTTTTCCGATACACCAAGAAGAGCATTGCTACATTATGTGTCTGAATGTGAAGAAATTGAACATTGTGCTGATTGACAACTCAACTTCTACAACGAATGGTGCTATTGAGGTCAAATACTCTGATATACCAAGTACACTGGTAAACAAAAATATGTGATTAGACTTTGTAACTTTTTGTACTTATTTATTAGTTGCCCACTTATAATTTGAAAATTAAATAATTTCAATTACAGGTTATGATGGTCTGTGAATATTTGGATTTGAAGGGGCTAATGAGCAAATCTGTTGCCCTAAAAAAAGCAAAAATTGAAAGATTGCAACTCCCTTGGGCGTTAGATAATAATGAAATTGATTGCGGAGTTTACGTCATGCGCCACATGGAGACCTACATGGGAGATAGCGTCAAGAACTGGAAAGTTGGGTTGAGAAAGAATAGTGCAAACCAACTGAAGTACTTAAGAGCGAAGTACTGCGCTACGATATTGTCAGCTGATATCAACATTCATAAGGAGCATAACTTGTATGCGGCAGATTTGCACTATAGAATCTCAAAATCTAGGGGTTCAATAAATGTTGAGAAGTTGTGGATCGGTCAGGCACATAATGAACAGTGACCTTATTAGTCTTCTTATGGTATCTACTGCAAGTTGTTTTGAACAATTGGTTTGTTTACACTATTTTGCATTGAGTACATTAGTTGCATAGATTGATGGGAGTATCTTATTATTTTACTTTGAATACATGTTATTTCATGGTTTGTTTTTTTGAATGAATTTGTTTATACAAATGGAAATTGTATCATAAGCAAAAGATAGCAGGTATTTAATAACAAATTATAACTATTGGACATTTTCCAATAAAATGCTATATTTGAATCTACATGACAATCTTAACTAAACACATAATGTAAATGATGCTATCAATCATTCATTTCATTGCTAATAATTGCATTTAATAATGCTAATATGACAAATAATATGTTAATCAAATTGATTTGATAAATGATAAACACACCATTAACTCCATACATCAGCTGTAGCACAGAAAAGGATTAATAAGAGTTCCATCAATCTTTTGTCCCACAAAATACTTTGCATAAACTAATCTATTATACACATACTATTAATTAAACAAAAAACAGCAAATGTATATAATATAGATGGCCTTCATACACAGAATGCAAGATCAGAATATGCAATGAACAACAAAATAATGTACAACCAGAAACAGGGTGAAAATTGCACCCAAGGAACAAAAAAACTAATGCACAGGCATACCACAAAAAATTAGAAAAAAATGCCCTTTTCAAGACATCGAATAAAATGAAATGCTATTATAAGTTCCTTGGCCAATCTACAACGATGAAATGCTATCACGCAAGAAGCGAAAACATATCATATTAGGATACTGCATAGACAGTGAAAAGCTACATAAAATGCCAGCTCAGCAAAGACGTTAAAAGGGCAGTATGTACAGAGGCACCATGTCAAACTTTTTTTTTTTTAATTTAATTAAATACCGAAAGCAGAACATGGTTCCCTCATAAATAGCCTGTTTCACCCATAATTTCTCTCTCAAGTTTATCAAACAGATTCTGTAAGAACTCCTGCCCAATCTATAGCCTCATGAAAATATCAAAGAAAGAAATGATGAGGACGAACCAAAAAGAAAACTAGAAACAAATATTGAAAAAGTACTTATAGTGAAATAGATGGTAAACGTTTGCTCTAATTATATAAGCCCCAATTGAAAGGAAATCAAAACGTAATGCAATTAATGATTTAGTTCTTCAGGCAATCAGCTGATGTTATTCCTCAGCACTCACGCACCGGCATATATATGATTGTAAAAACATCTAAAATTCCTTCTACCTTGTTGATAATGTTTATACAGAAACTAAACTTATACACAAACAGATCAGAGCATGTTAAACATATAATGACATAAAAAGTCATTAACAACAAAGAGAAAAACTTCAATCATTTCCATTTTGATCGTGACACCCACAAACTAATTCACAAAATTTCCACAATGCATAGGCATACCACAAAAAATTAGAAAAAAAATGCCCTTTTCAAGACATCGAAAATATAATGCTAAACAAGAAAAAATGCTACTTTTCTTAAATTTTATGTCACAATAATAAATTTTTTTCAGTTAGTGCAGCTTCTATTCTCTGGCTATTATACCAACAGGAGGTACGTTGATGCCTAATTTCCTATTCCAATAAAATTTTCTGTAATCGACAACAACTAACAATGAAGATACACCTCGTGAAATAATGTTCCTAACCGAGAAAAGTAGAACTGATGTTTTCGGATAGAAAGTAGATTCGTCCACAACTTTTTTTTTCTTCATAGAAAAAGAATCTACCTCCAGTAAGGCGCAATTTTATGCTACATGACAATCTTAACCAATCTCATAATTTAAACGATGCTATGAACCATACATTTTATTGCTAGTGATTTCATTTCATGATGCTAATTTAACAGGGAATGAGTTTGTGACATTACTTATATCAAAACCGAGAAGCTCAACTAATAGGAAAAGAAAAATCCGCAGATAGTGCAAACCAAAACCAGTAAGGAAGAAACACAATGCAAAATATATTCTTAAAAAAAATAATACATATTGTCTCATGGATCAACTGGCAAATTTATCACAATTTCTAGCATCATGGCTACTTTTCTGCTTACACTTACTACACATACGCAATGGCTTTTTGCTTCGTTCGATAGCCTTTTCCTTCCTAGATTTCAATCTACTTCCACTACCTTTATTTTTCACTGGGGCTGGGGGTAGCACTTCAACTTCGCTTGGCAATGGAGCTCCATAATACTTCTCAAATAAACATTTTTTCATGCCAGGATCTGATTGCTTTCCTTGAACTGACACAATCATCTCTTTCTGATCTTTTAGGCAAGTTAGGAACCCGTTCATTAACTCTATATTACCTTCAACCATACCAATACACGAGTAAAATTCTGAAAAAATCTGGTTAGTGATGGATTTACGATCCTCGATAGCAACACATTGGTCTATTACCTCACCATCCACGACGAATATGGGTTTCAGCGATGCATGCTTTGTCCAGCGACTAACTATATATTTTTCAGGAATGCTTTCAAGCTTCAAATCTTTGAACACAAATAATATGTGGCTGCATAATCTACCAATCCTCGTAAATTTCTTGCAAGTACATGTCGTTGTGTTCTCATTTCTCTCATAAACAACATTAGAAATTCCAGTGAGACCATCATCAATCTCGTAGACCGAGTTTTTCTCGCCAACTACAACACTGCATACTCGACAATCAAAACAAGCAGCAACAATATCATTTTGTACCTGCCCAAATATTTTTGATGTGTATACATCAGCAGCATGCCTTTCAATCAATAAAGGTGTCTTGAACTGAGGTGTATAAGACTCATTTCCCATGTTCAGCTGATCCTGGGCATGCCTCTGGGCATCCAATGCACTATCAAAGTGCATAAAAAACTCAAGCAAATTAGCATATGGGTTTGAATACTTTCCAAAGAAGCTATTCTCACTCTCAGACATAGAGGTTGTCCTGAATAATCCACTCATTGGAAAGTCTCTGAAAAAAGCAGGGATCCAAAAATGTCGCATGTCAAACATTGATGTAAACCAAGCATTATCTTTCAGATCATACTCATCCATCAACGCAATCCATCCGCCCTCAAAATCTGTTGGTTCATCTTTCTCCGACCAAACCAGATTATCTAGCTTCTTCCTAAATTCGCCATCTTTTTTTAAATGAGACGGTACCTTATCTGAAACTTTCAACATAATATGCCACATACAAAGTCGGTGCTTAGATACTGGAAATGATCGCTCAACAGCAATTTTAAGTGCTGGATCTTGATCCGTCACAATAATGCGAGGAGCGCATCCCATTGCCTCTTTGAATTTCTCTAACAACCAAGAATACGATTCAACGTCTTCTTTTGACAGCAATCCAGCACCAAGGGTCACACATTTTCCATGATTATCCTTTCCAGTGAAAGGCGCAAATATCATATTGTACCTATGAAAACAAACATTCTTATTAAGAAAATAGCTAAAAAATGCAAGGGAATAAACTACTAGGATGTATAATAGCCTGAATGAAAAACATAAACACAATTTATTAATAGTCTGTCAATCAACGAAATAGCATCACAATTTATTAAAAGTAGCACCATACGTTGTATAAAGTAGCACACATGCTAGGAAAAACAACTACACAGATTATTAAAAAAATAATGTGTTCAGGGTAATAAGCCTAACCTTAAATTGTATGTCTATGTTTATGACCAATCAATAGAAGAAGATAACATAGCATAAACAAGTACCTGTTAGTTGAGTATGTAGCGTCAAATGAAATAACGTCACCGAAAGAGGCATAGTTCTTTCTTGAAATTGGATCAGCCCAAAATAGTCGCGTCAATTTATCTTCTTTGTCAACATCATATTCAAAAAAAAAGGCCGAACAGAGTTCTCGCTTCCTAAATAATTTTCCTAAAACCATATGGGCATCAACCCCTATAGCATAAGCTTTCAAGTCTCTTGCAAAATTTTTAAAATCCACGCTAGTACATCCAACATTTGAGTATCCACCCACGACTTCTTTAAATAACTTGTACGATTGCATTGGTCCAATATTTGCTCTGGCGCAATTCAAGACAAAGTTTTGGTGACCGACATCCATATTTCTGCTCACTCGCATAAGATGTTTATGAATTTGGGAAGCTAAAGGATGAGAATGATACTCAACAAATTTATCAACAACATACCCTTTTTGGCCAGCAAACTTCAAAATCAATTTAGCTTCACAGTTAATACGTTTCGAAACTCTTCTTCGTTTCTTAATACTGTCACTATCTCCATCTGTATGTTCACGTGAATAATTCTTTTGACCCTCCCTGGAGCATAAAATATAGCTTCTGATTAAGAAACCGTCCGACGACTTTTTCTTAGTTGAACGCCGAATATCAAATCCACACTCAGCTGCGTATTGCCTATAAAATTCGTAAGCATCATCCAAACTGCTAAAATGTTGCCCGATAAATGGCTTCAATTCGGGTTTGCAATTTGGTACGAAACGCGGAGGCATATCGGTAGATATTTCAACTCGAACATCACCACTTCCAATTTCGCCTGCATTTGAGACACGAGAAAATTTCCAGTATTGTATTAATTTAATTTTTGACACCGTGTCCATGAAAATTTGCGAAACAATCTGATCATAAGGAGATAAATGAAAATAAATGAAAATTTGCGAAACAATTTGACACAGTGCACATCGGTAGTGATTTTCTTTTATAATGTACAGACATTACAGAAAAATGTAAGAAAATATGTAAGAGAGTGCTCAACTCGAGTCACACAAAGGGATAAACACGAATTTCACAAACACACGTATTCTTACATGAAGGAAAAAAAAAGGTAAAAAAATATGTAGTGATTTTCTTTTATATAAAAATCATGAATAACAGAGATAATAGACATTATAGAACTTACATGTTGATTCCATTCTTGAACAGATACAGGATGATTGTCTTTAAATTTTATACTTTCTTGTGTAATATAAGAAATGTTTATTTGTTCAACCTTGCTCCTTCTGTATGATCTTTTCGTGTAAATAAAGTGTAAAACAAATAGTAACTCAACTAAAGAGGATGATTGAAGTAAAAAACGGAAATTGAATAATCCTTACCATTTGAGAAAAGACCCAAACCATTTCCCTAAAATCTGCAATTAACATAATTAACAACATTGGTTTTTACAATAATAGACATACATAATTAATTATAGTAATTTCTCAAGAATATATTAAATAATCAAGACCATTGATAATTATGTAATCAATGGCTAAGATGGGTTCTTAGTTCTCACACTAGAGATGGGTTCTCATTTGAACCTCATCCTATATATATATATATATATATATATAATTGCTGATAAGCTTTAATAAATTTTATTCAGCTAGAAATTAATAATAATATGAGTTCATTTAATAAAAATAGGTGTTCACTTAATAAAAATATGTTTACCATTTAATAAAAATTGTAACTTTCAGTTACACTATTTATTTTGACAGCTCCTATTTTGAAATGTGCACATTTTTGTAACGCTTTTTTATGTCCTGAAATACAATATATTTGTTCTTATATTTTTGGACTATATGTTTTTTGATATTATATAAATACATATTTCACAACTAATTAATAATGACTACAAATATCTCTATTTTCTATTGTATTCATACAATAATAAAAAAATATTTTTTCGAATATTACAAAGATACATCAAATATTTTGAAAAATCAAATCCTAGAGTCACGAGTTAAACGAGTTTAACGATAATAATTTGTTGTGATGGAGATTCTGATGATAGGAAAACCACGAATGTTGTATAGAAAAAAGTGTTTAATAATATTTAGATTCACTTTTTTAAATTATTTTTTCTCATTTATTAAGTTATAATTTTTATTTTATTCTATATTTTAATTACTTTCTCTTCTATTATATCGCTTCTGGTGCAAATGCACGGGACAAAACTAGTATGAGTATAATGGTATAATTATAAAAGTGAATATTCTTTTAACATAATTGAAATATACAAACAAGTGCAAGAATAGTAAAATTCCATTTTCTTCTTTCCATTTTTCATATTTTTGAATGTGTTGAAACTGAATCTATATATATAATTACTAGCTAATAGAATTTAATAAAACCTATTTAATTTTACCTATGTGGCAATTTAACAATTTTTCCTCCAAAAACCATTACATTTTGATGTACTTAATCTTTCATTTAATCATTAAATAATTAATACTCATCACTTCAAAATTACAAAAATCATTTTAAACTTTTGATTAATGACAGTTGACCATATAATGTGTTGACCGTATAATGTGATTAGATGTTATTATTGTTGTTACATTTAATTTTTTTTTGAAAATAAAAAATATTTTTGAAATTCCTAAATAAATAATAAATAATTCACAAATAAAAGACGTACCAAAATACACATTACATCCAATCAGATAAACGCAATTTAAAAAAAAAAATATTCCAACTCTTTTAATTGTAAATTTGATCTGCAAAAAAGTGAAAGAAAAATAATTAATCATTATATGTACAGACTAATAATAATTTATTTATATCTGTGCAAATGCACATGTCGAATACTAGTTTAACTAGAATCTAAGGTGGGTTAATAAGGGGTAGTATGTTAAGTTGGGGGTAGTTTTGCTATTAGATAAATAAAAAGTTCAATTATATTGAAATATTGTCATTTAGTATATCATGTAGTTTGCAGCATCTCAACCGTCGGTGACCGGAAACCCAATCCCATGCCGTTTAGTCGGAAATACAACAAACAACATACTACAAACCACCCCAATCCCGACCGGCAAAGCCGTGAGCACTTCCTTAGTCTCGGCCGATGGCTTTGGATAAAAACACGTCACCACATTCTCGTCAAAAAGCGCAATCGCCCCAAAAACCAATATCGACATCAAAGCATGCATGAAATCGATAAATTTCACCCGATACTTAGCCGCAATCTCGGGAGGCAGAGTAGCCGAGCCATCGATTATCCAAAGCCCACGTAAAGTGGCGAAACCGTAAACCACATTTCCCTTTTGGTCCTTGAAGCTGTCGGTGAAGCTAAATAGGATAACTGAAAGCCCGCAAAGGCCCATGAGCCCGGCGGTTAGGGCCCGGCCCACCGGGTCGCATTCTCCTTGGTTTGAGAATATGGGTGAGAGGAGTTGGAAAGCGAGGACTGAGCCCGTGGGGAGGAGGTTGGCTAAATGGGCCGTGCTTGCGAAAGTCTGGCTGATTGCTTGCTGGACAAGGCTTCTCTCGACAACATCCGGAAGGTTCTTGTTGACGAGCAATGGGGTTGTTGGGTTGGGTTCTTGTTCGTGGGTTTCTTTGGGGTTCCCGTTTTCAACGTTGATCTCCATTTTTTTTTTTTTCGATT